AAACGTTTATACCGAGAAAGTTACGGGAAGTTCTGCTGCGTCAGTCCCATGATAGTTTAACAGGAGGACATCTCGGAGTTAAGAAGACATTGGGTCACCTACGGCAGAGATTTTACTGAATAGGTATGAGGCAAGATGTGGAAGAATGGTGCAAGACATGCAGTACATGTTGTGCTAAAAGGGGACCCAAGCATAAGGGACGTGCTCCAATGAAGTTATATGAAGTTGGCGCACCAATGGAAAGAGTAGCCGTCGACATTGCTGGTCCTCTGCCCCAAACTCGTGCTGGAAACAAGTACATTTGTGTGGTGATGGATTATTTCACCAAGTGGCCAGAGGCATTTGCAATACCAAATCAGGAAGCTACAACTGTAGCTTCGGCTATTAGTGACTTCTTCTTCAGATTTGGTATGCCATATGAACTGCATTCAGATCAAGGCCATAACTTTGAATCAGATGTGTCCCATGAATGCTGCAAGTTGTTTGGCATACGAAAGACCAGAACAACGCCACTTCACCCACAGTCTGATATGATGGTAGAAAAGTACAATTGGACACTGGGACAGGAATTGGCAAAGTTTTGTAATAGTCGCCAAGATGACTGGGATGTCTTACTCCCTCCACTGTTGATGGCCTTTTGGACAGCAGAGCATGAAGCCACTGGATACACTCCAGCAAAGTTGATGTTTGGTCAAGAACTTCGGTTGCCAGTGGATCTGTTAATAGGACACCCACCTTATGAAGAGTTGCCTGAAAATGTGTCAGAGTTTGTGAAAGTGTTATCAGAAAGGATGGATGATATTCACCATGATGTTAAAGCACAAAACGTCTGCTGATTCAATTAAGCTATGTTATGATAAGAGATCTACTGAAGTCAGTTTTGTACCAAGAGACAAGGTGTGGTTGCATAATCCCAGGAAGACCAAAGGGAAGTCTCCTAAGTTATCATCTCCATGGGAAGGCCCATATGACATAGTGGATCGTCTCTCAGACGTGACATTCCGGATAAAATGTGATCGGCGAGGTAAGAGAAAGGTGGTGCATCCCAACAGGCTTTGGTGTTATCACGGTCTAGGATATTTCAGTTTGGACGAAGTGAACAATGGAACAAATGACGCTGCTGAAGATGTGTCACCTGAAAAAGCCACTGTCGAAGAAGAAACTATACTTGGTTTTGAGAAGGGAAACAGTGAAGCCCTTAATGAAGTTACTACCAATGATAGGCCCTTTTCCTGATGAAGCAGGAGAACCCCACATGAAGCAGAAGCCAACGAGATGGAGACCAGTACGGAAGATGATACGTCCCATAAAATTAAGAGACTTTGTTGAATTTTGATTTTGTGTTTGTAAATTCTGTACATTTAATTAAGTTATTGTTAATTGTTTATTAGTTTAATGTAAGTGGCTATCGTTCGGGACAAACAATACTAAGGAAGGGGTAGTGTTACGACAGCGGAAGTCACGTGACACTAGTAACACGTTATGAGCTTCTAGAAAATTCATGTCCCTTCGTGAAGCCCTGAATGTTTACTAGATATGCGGTATTCTTGTATATAACACCGCCAAGAAGTGACGGCAACAATGGAATTGAATTGCAGACAGAGATAGAGATGGACACTTGAGTCGAGCACGTGTTATATAGCGTTTGTTTAAATTATAGCGTGACTGTGGAAATTAAGTGTATTGCAAAGTTGTATTGAGAAAGAATAAACTAGTTTTATTTAAGAAAGAACTTGTATCGCTAAAGTTTCTTCGGAAATAATTTTTACGGAAAATTACACTTTACTTACGGTACCTCTGTTCGCTTGACTCAATTATCTATATCTTCAATTCTACTGCTTTTTCTCGCCAGACTTATATACTAAAAAAGAAGGCGTCTTGCAAACACTCTGACATCGCGTGGTTCCTCGATAATTCCAGAAACTCCAGCGCGCATGCTCCCAGTGGTACGCAACTTCCGCTGTCGTAACAATACATTATGTGATTTAGCGTTTAATACTCTTCAAAGACTTTTGTTTTGATTAGAGACATAAAAATTCGTTCATAAGTGGGCCCAGGTTCAAATATTGATTGACAATGTTATAGTGAAATGTCTTGTTTAATTTCGGCATAACCGACTCTTTGTGTCAAAAAGTGTTATGTAAAGCAACATTAAAACATTTTCGTCGATGTGTGACTATATTTGCGACACCAAGAGTCTTTCAAGTCTAAAACTGATGTCAAAGATTGACTGAAGAGGTTTATATGGTATTCAGTTTGTGTACGATTTGACTTTTGATACTAACAATTGTATTTGGAATTACATAGTATAATGCATTAAAAAGCTTGATACAATTATATTTTCTTTAGAGAGTGTGTGAGACAGTGAGTAATTTCTTATTGTTTCTTTGGTGTTTTATATCTGTTATTTACTTTCTCTTTTCTACACCAGGTTTCGCTTTGTGATAATTGTATCATTATGGAATAGTACTATATTCAAATACAGTTGTGCTTATTGTATGGAGGTTGTCGCTTAACCTGGTAATTTTAATGTTGTTAGTTTTATAAGAATTACTTTTAACAGTTTTTCTATTTTAGATATTTGAATGTTAATCTTTTGGAAATGTGATTGTTCCACGTTTTACCTAGTGCCCAGATTGACTTTATAGTTTTATCAAGTATATTTGATTGCATATTCGTTTTTACTTTTTACTATAAGTTTTAACCTAAATATTACTATTAGTAGATTAGCTTTACTAGTATTACTAATAGTATTAGTAGGGCTGATAGTATTAATAGATGCTCTTTTTACAAGTTGACACTTAGGTCTTCCACTGTTTTGTTTTTACACTATTACATTTACACTTTTATAGTTACTTCGACAAAATTCTATTGGTACAACAGTGTCGAATTGTTAAAAAAAAACTACCGAGCCCTTATATTAATAAAGCAGCATTGGCGAAACGTAGACTGTTTTTTTTGTCCTTTTCTAATAATCTGGAGAGTAAAGGTCGTTTTGTTTTACTAATTTTATTTCCAAAATGTTTAAATTATTCCAGTATGCATTACAAATTTTTAAAACCAAACTAATTGCTTTCTCATTGGTATAACACTATTAGTATTAATATTATGTTGATTTTGCATTAATGTGGTAATTATTGTTTAAACTAGCCCACATCATTAAATTGTCTTTTGCTTAACGTAATTAAATACCATCTGCCATTTATGTCCATAGTTCATCATATCCCTTTGTAAAAGAACAGTGTCCTCCTCACACTCAAAACTTTAATATCATTAGCAAAATTGACCAATTTGTTGATCATTCCTTTATCAATATTGTTAACGTTTATAGAAAAAAGTAAGGGTCCCAGCACAAGCTCTAAGGTACCCTACTTGCAACTCCAATCCAGTTTGACTGTTTATTACAACACTTTTCTCTCTGATCAATTAATCCACATAGCTAACTTACCCCCCACGCTGACAGAGATAATATTCTTTACTAGTTTTTTTTGTGTAAATTTGTCAAAATCCAGGTATACCGAATTTACATCTCTACCCTTATCAATGTAAGCAGTGACATCTTTGAAAAAGGTCAAAATATTTGTGAAATAAGATCTTCCCTGTGTGAAACTATGCTGGCTGTCCACAAAAAAATTATAATTTTGTTAGGTAGCTTTGCAAAACATATTTAGTCATTCTCTCCAAAATAAGAATAACTGGTCTATGATTACTGAGAGAATGCTTATGACTTCCCTTAGAAATAGGTGAAACATTTGCAAGCTTAAAGTCTTTTGGCACCTGCTCACTACTGAAAAACTCCATAAAAAATACCTGAAATTTTTCAAATTTTATGTAACTCAGTTTTTGTAGTTTTGACTTTACTTTTTTTTAGCATTAACATTTTTATGTTACTATAGCTAGTTAGGTTACATATATATTGATCCCTACTTGTCTTTATAAAATTTTAAAATGTTTTATTTAAAAAAGTAACACAGAAAGAATATATACAAAAAAGTGAAAAATAAAGTACTTTTCTGGGTTTTTTTTTTGCTGTCAGCTGTTGACGAAACTTAACCCTAATTTTTTATGTTAATGGTACTACTGAACTAAATAATTTTTAATTTAATTAAATAATGTACCAAAGAACACAGAATAATAACATGTAAAAACCAGGCAATGTCCCATAACTATCACAGTTTTTCTGACTTTCTAACTGTGGGACAAGAGCCCTTAAAAATTCAGCTAAACTAGTCAGTGTGATTCCCTTAGGAATAAAGTTTGAACTGCAAAGGAAGTATACAATTCTCTGTACAAATAACAATAATTTAATAAATCATTTGATAGATTAAAACATTGGTTTTTCTGTTGGTTGTAAATAATATACTATTAAATGTCACAAAGAACTATTGGCAAGTAGTGAAAGAGAGGATGTGAAAGGTGGGCATGGCAAGAGGGGTCTGATATACTTTGGACCACTTCGTAAAGTAATCAGTGATCATGAATAGGTAGCAATGACTGCTTGTAATCTCTAGGAGTGCAACAGCAATTTCCATGGCTATTGTCTGTAGAAGAGACCCAGTAATTCTCTTTTGGAGTTTACCCTATCTCATCTGGTTCTTTCTCAGGATATCACTTGTACTGTGTTGCACTCACACTATCACCAAACACCCCAACTCAGTTCAGGTCAGATGGTAGCATAAGTATGCATCACACCTTTGTGCCTTCTGGTCCTAGTGTTGTGTAAAATATGAAGTGTATCTTGTCAGAGCTCGGGGGGGGGGGGGGGACCACTAGCTGCAGCACTATCAGAGCACACAACTTCTTAGGCAAGTAAGAATGGTACAGCACACCTTCCTGCACTCATACTTGTACATACCAGTGCCATAGATTATATGGCTGTGCTACACACCTCTACTATTATTGGGCAGGCCTGTCCTTTCTGGATAGCGAGAGAGAGCCGATACTAAGTCAGGGTCCTTCAGTTGCTCGTCCAAGAGATCCTGAAGTATTAACTTAAGCAACCATCCTTCAGTGAAGTTGTCTACCATACAGCCTATGGTTGATACAGTATTTCTACATGGTGTTTATAAATGGGCCAGGTCTTAGTGTGTGGTCAGATGATCCATCTAACAAGATCATATTCTTGCAGTGTTGTTATTCAGTGGTCTGTTGTTCCCTCCAGATTTTTGAAATTTATCAACCACTTCAGCAAACCAGAGTCTACACAGATGGTGAACCTCCTATCATACAAGTAATGTTGAAAAAGCTAATCACAGCAGATGGTTTTTTCTTTGTTGTATGGTATCTGGGTTTGGAAGCCATGAGTGTATGTCTAGCTTTGTCACTAGGTTAGTACAAAAACATTCACTAAAGAGAGATTCAGGGTTTGTAATACTTAGTCACACTCCTGACTCCATTCAAATTGCACTTTCACTTTTGTGAGGGCTGAAAATGGTGCTGCTATTGTTGAGAAATTGGCTACAAGTTTTGTTTAGTTTAAAGTCATGGACAGTCTATCACCACAGCTCTCATAGTCAGGTCCATTGAGACTGCATTTCTCCTGAAATGAGATCACAGAACTCTGCCTCCATCCACATGAGCAAACACATTCCAGGTATCAGTTTCAGGTCTGCCTTTCTTAAGCACTAGATTGTCATTCTCAGGCTCTCAGATACTACCTCAAAAGTGTGGCCAAACACCAAAACATTGATATAGAACAAGCATCTCTCCTAGACTGCTACTCATGGACTATCATGAGTAAAGCTAAAGGGGATTTTGATAATTCCTGCTGATCTTCAAGCTTCTTCAGTCGAGATCAGTTTGCTTTCAAAACTTAGGGAACGTGTTTCACCTGTTGCACTGTCTCTGGAGACCTATTCCTCAGGACTCTACCTCCCACTTGTCCCACCCCAAATTCTATGATTAGAGCTAGGGAGTCCTTACCACACTCAGTTCCCAGTCAATGGGGTGGTGGACAGAGGATTTATTTTGGAGTGTTGAGTTTTCTCCACTCACAGAGAAGAGGGTGAAGTTGGGGACCCTCCTACCTGGGTCCCTAGAACTTTTTCTCAGATGTTGGTAGGAGCAGGACCAACCTACATGGGAGCCTATTCGTAAAACCAATTATCTGCTTAGTTATCCGTGGGGGTGTGCTTGGACCGTCTTAGGAACACTGTCGGGTGTTAGGTTGTTCATACGGGGGGTCCGTTATCTCTTCATAAATCCGAACGTGATGCAGTCCCATCTTAGGTCCTTGGTGGAACAGTGTTCCACATCCTCTCCATAATACCATAGGTAAGTGGAATTCTCCTTGCCCACTTGGTTGGGGAATGAAGATGACTATTCGTAAATCCAGACCAGATGAGTTCTGGACCTTGGGTGGAGTGTGGCATATGTGATCCCATTAATCCAAGCCTGGGATTTTGCCTTTTGGACTTCTTTAGGTTGTTCAGAACGATTGTCCATTGTGGTGTTGCTTTCTTTCTTGTGTAAGTCCAGTAGTTCGAAATGCATCATTCCATGGCTACAGGTGGGGATCCTATCATAAAGATATATATATATTTGAGGTCCAACTGCCCTACAACAAATGTGGGATATAGATACCATGACACCTTAAATCCAGCCCCAAGTCATGGAACCTTGGCTGTGTGGTTGGGGCTGGTCCATCATACTTGTGTACTATTCCATTCTTTTCACTTTTCCGTAGTTCTGGGGGAAGAGCAAACCTGTTCTGGATGTAGTGTGGTTTTCCCCACTTGGGTATCACTTCTCATGGTACACCTTTCTTCTATGCAGATGCTTTCTGTATAAACTATTCTTTCACCGGCCTCTCCACCTTCTCAATGTGGGATTCTAACTATAAGTGTCAGTGGAGGTATGTATGTTTGGAAGTTATCATGTTCCTAATCTGAAAATGTATTTCCAAACATACTTAACTCCGCTGACACTCTCCCTCCCTTCTTCTCCACTAAAAGCCGGTGTTAGTGACCAGGATGGGGTAAGTCTCGGAAAAGTGATTATAGTCTGCATACAGTGCTTATATACATTACATGCATAGAGGGCGTGTGAAGGCTGGTGTAAAGTTTTGCAAATTAGATATTGCCGAAGGCGGTCAAGTGTGGTGTAAAAGACTGGAGCAAGCAAACACAATGTTAGATGGCAAAGATGGAGATTGAGAAATAGCTAAAAGAGTCAGCAGAGGTAAGTATATTTGGAATTACATTTTCAGGTTAGGAAAATGATAACTTGAAATCTGTCCTTCAGAGAGGGGTGGTAAATAAATTAGAGAAGAGGGAAGACAGAGAATGATGTCACAATTCTCATGCTGGTTGAGATTTTGAATCATTTGAATATTTCCTTATGAAATTAAGAAGTTAAATCTTATATAATATTTCAATTTGATTTATTATTTGTGTTTTGATGCAAAGTTTATTTCTATACATTGATAATAAATTAGTTTAATTAAATTTTGAACATAACTCTAAAAAGTTGTGATGTGCACTTTTACCTAACCCTAGGGAAAGGATTAAAAAGGTCAAATAAACATAATACCTTATAGTACAATGACATTATCTTTTTTGCCATGTGTTGGTACTACTACTGTTATATAGTAGAGAAACTCAGAATCCCTACATCATGTAGTAAACCAAAGATCTTTATAACAGTTGCTGTTTTACTTATTAATATCTGTGGAGATAATAGAATTTCAAAAAGTGAATAAAGATTCTGAAGGTTAAGAGTCTACTCTGAAGATTTGGATGATTCTGCACATCTGGTCTTCACTTGAACTGGCTGGATTCTATGTTCTATATTAACTATCATGGGCAAGATTACACCATTTATTTTAAACATTGTTGAAAATAAACTTGTAGCTGTTCTTTTACAAATAAAAAAATAAGTTGAGTTAACATTTATTTACTAAAGTTTTACTTATTTAATTTCATACGTAAAAACATAATAGCAAATTTTGCTTTGGATTAATATCAGTACATTCTAAACAAAAAACCTTAGTTTGAATTTTTTTCTTTGCATAACACTTGTTCATAGGAAGAAAGTAGAAATAGCTTTTTAACAAGATAGTGGTAATTGAAATCTTGTAACTTCGATATAAGTGTAGCTTGCTATATCTCAGCTTTGAGAAGTCATAGGCTAGCAATCTAAACATGTAATGAAAGCTCTTTTCTCAGTTCTTTACAACTGTATAAGCCAATCAGACTTCCAGTTCAGTAGAGATTGAAACAAAATGACAGAGGTCTATTTCAGTGATGTGTTGCTAGAGAAAATGTTTATAAACAAGAACATACCAGTTTCACTCCAGATTGTTTTTTTAAAGCTTGCTTTATCATTTTAAACCTAATATAAATTGTTATATTGCAGTAGGATAGGAAAATAACTGCTTTTGGTGGAGCAAGATGATTTAGCCATGTTCAAATCATTTTACATTTGACCACATCAAGTTTTGTTTCACCAACAGGACCATTGTATCGAGTCTTATTAATCTAAATAACTGCTTGAAAAGGCAAAGAAAATCACTGTAAATAAATGTATATAAAACAGGTTTAGAACTTATTACATATATCAGACATAACCTTCTGATTAAAAATTGAAAAAGTTGGCTTGCTAATAATTTTAATATGCCAGTTATCATAACCACATTGAACCTGCTTGCACTGTTCTTTGAACGAGTCAAAGGTAAAATTTAATTTCAGAAAATAAAACCTATATATGAACATTTTAAAAGAATGTAGGAAGACAAAAATCAGTAATTGAAATCAATAAAGATAAGCATTTTAATGGTTTGTTTAAAAAGTGTCACAGTAAAATTGTTTTTGGATTTTGAAGAAATATTATGATATTATAATTATATATAATACTGTAATAAATAGAAATATTACATATAAAAATAGGATATTTTATTTTCAGAAGCTAAATAATATATTAAAAGTTGATCTTAAGTTTCAAGCTATTTCATCCAATAGTTTATTTTTGCAATGCAATAAAACAAGCCAAACAGGTTTATTGAATCTATGCACCTGGATGTGAAGTAGTTAACATCCTTTTGGAGCAGGAGGAAGCATGTTTACCCAAGATAAGATATTGAATTGTTTAAGTCAGTCAATTTAAACACTAAAAACCAGTGTAAAAAATACCTGAATATACCTTAAAGTAGTTATTTATTTATTATGTGTTATTTTGTTGTTATGAAAAATTGAAAAGTAGAGGTTATTTTTCTTCAGTTATACTGATTTGGGTATTTTAGCTGGCTTTTTCCACATCAAATATTTTGTGAACATTTCACAAGCAATTATTGAACTAAGAATTGAGTTGAATGGTGTAATAACCTCTACATTTTTGTTTTAATGACTGTATTTGTGTGCATGGTATAGATTTACTTCTTTTTCTTTCAGCACCTCAGATCCAATGTATTCAGATGTGGATTGGACACCTAACCCCTTTCCTCCATTACCAACTCCTTCCCTGAACATATTGTCTGAAGCTGATTCATTACTTTGTCTTACTCCTGAAAAGTCTTTTAAAGACCACCAACCAAACAGTTCAAATTCTACAAGTAAGGCTAGTGTTGGAGATAAAACTGAAGTAAATAATGTTTTAAATTCCATCTTTTCAGTTGAGCAAAGTGTTGTGAATAAAGACTGTCAAAAAAATAAGTTAAAAAATAGAAACTTCAAGAATAGAGTGAACGACACACCATGTTTGGCCAATTCTGGTGTTCAGAAAGAAAACTTCATGCATTCAGCAAGTGATAATTCATATTTAAAAAGAATTAATTCCTGTTCATCTATTATGGTTCCTCAACTGCCAGAAATTGAAAAAGAAAAGAGACATGTATCATTTGGTGGTTTTGAAATTTTTCCATCACAAGCAGCAGGTACTGGAGGTCACATAATACAGGAAAGGTCAAATTCACTCTCATCCAACCTAGAAAAAACATCCAGAAGTACAGAGAATAGAACATTTGTAAATAAGCCTATGGCAACCACAAAAGCTGTTAACAAATCAAATATGAATTATTGTTCAACCCAAGAAAGTGTTCCTCTTATACAGAATGAATTAGGAGCTCCAAAACCAAATTCATCCATCAAGGTTGTTCAAGAAATGGAAAAACTTCAAAGAGATGGTAATGTTGATGATGCACTTTCTCAGAAGCTAAGATCAAGTGACAAAAATGGACATACTATGGAAGACAAGGTACGTACCTCTTAGTTTATACCATGGGTGACTTACAACAAGGGACCATTTGATCTTTTAAGGTTGTCCTTACACATCCACCCTTGAAAAAAATAACAATTTAAATCCACCCTTTATTTTTCTCCTCCTAAGCACATGCTGACCTATGCTACTGCTACTTTTCCTTCAGTTCTATGAAAAAAAAAAAAGTTATGTGCTTGAATGTAACATAATTTGTGTTGTTGTTTTTTACATGGTTACTTCCAACAAGACCAAATTATTTCTAAAATTGTTTATTTATTTTATTGGATGTTTTTATTTTATTCTGTCATATTTCATCCTGCTATTACCACACTTCTGTTTCACGCATGGATTTTGTCCAGTCTCTTGTGAGATAATCTGTACTCTCTTCACAGATAGCCACTCTTCCTTGAATGTCTACCAGAGAAAATGGAGCATTTGCCGGTGTTGAACTCTGTCAGAACTTATAATTCTTTGCCAATTGTCAGAGTAAAAAGGCTTTTACTTATACTTCTTAATAGTATAAATATACAATGTGTTGTTTTGGGGGTTAGGATTATCCTACACTAGGTGTCTGTGACTTGTTAGCGATAATTCAAGGATAAATAAGCAGCACACATTTCACTTGTTTTCAAAATAATATATATATATTCGGAACAAGTTAAATGTATGTACAACAAATTCTTCAACACTATAGATATCACTATATATGTAGTTTTCTCCTTCTTGTCAAAAAGTCCATTTAGGCCTATTCAATTACTTTACAATTTCAGTTGACAAGTCGTACTATTTTCTCTATTACTATCGCACTAGTATTCTGTGTATGATTCACTTGCAGTTGTGATACAAGTTACCATAATCATTTGGTCTTCTTTCTTCTGAAGATTCTGTGTTCCCTTTGTCAAGTGCACTCAGGCTGATTGAATTACTTTAGAGCCATGCTTTAACAGAATAAATTATTTTTCTTACCTTCTTTTCTACTGTTAATCTTACTTTAACATATTAAATGTTAGGCTTATGTCAATCGTTAGGCCTATCACTTCTACGATAGTTAACTTCATGCCAAACTTTTTGTTGTTTTAACTCTGCTCTCTTCTCCTATTGTCTGTCTGCTGTTTCTGCTCATCTCACTCTCTCTCTCTCTCTCTCTCTCTCTATATATATATATATATATATATCTTTATCACTTAATCGTCTGTCCACCTTCTATATTCTCGAGGTCAGTGTATTGCATGTGACGTTCATTTGATAGTCTCAACATCAATAAATTATTAACAAAACTTTGTACAATCATCTACTTTTAACTCTCATTGTAACAAAAACTAAACAATAATAAAACATTCACTCACAAAACTAAATTAATCAATAATATCTAAACCAAACTGTGTTTTATATCATGACAATCTCTGCAACATGGTTTCTCCCCAACCACCTAGTATTCCTCATCTTTCAGATTTCTTTACTTGGCTATTCAACAAAAGTCTATCAGTATTCACTATTGCTGGCTATAGGGCAGCCTTATCTAATACCTTTCATTTCTCCCAATCCTGTCACGTTTTTTTCTCTTTTGTTCTTTCTTTCCTGTGTTTCTCCTTTTGTTTGATTTGTCTATCTCATCCAATACCTCTGCTTGACTGGAATCTCAATATTTTCCTTCGTGCACTTACCTTTCCACCATTTGAACCTTTGGCCACTTTCTCATTGTACCACCTTTCATTAAAGATGTATTTCCTGCTCCTTTTTGCTTGTGGATATTGTAAGTATGATATTTTTGTTATCAACTTCTCCCATGTCCTTTATCACCATATCCATGTACTCCTATATCCAAATCATAGTTTTTCCTTAAAACTTAAGGAGGACATGAAAGGAACATCACCTTCCTGCCTATTTCATTTGCTTCCATCTCTCATTTGTATTCCTGTGCCGTTTCTGATAATCTTTGTCCAGTACGTGCTTTGTGTTGTTATGCTGTGTGCACTGCTTGCTTCCATGGACTATTTTCTTTATCTGAGACCTCTCTTCTGTCACCCTTACTGGTTGTCCTTGCCAACTTATTAGGCTTGCTTATGCATCATTATCTGAGGATTCCTGTTGATTTTTCAAGTCTCCTCCCACCAATTTTGTCATCTCCCCCCTCACCCTGGTTGTCCACTTCCGTCAGCCATTAGAGAAAATTGTACAGGCTGGCATGTGGACCATGCTTCACACTTTCATAGCCCACTGTTTGCATTACTGGACCATCTCCTCCTCATGAGGCTATTGCCTGCCTCCATTTGCCTTTCTCCACACTTCATTTTATCTGTCAGAAGGTAAGTTCTTTCTTTTTAATTCTTACCATTATAGTGGACTTTTTCTCAATTCTTGGATCCCATTCTGTGGTGAGTGGTGCCTGTCTAAGTATATTTCAACATAAATGCACACCATACAGCCAGTTGTAGTCCTACAACTCTCTCTAAACAGATAAGGTGTTCCACAAGACTGCTCAGGGTTGCCTTGCAGTATCTTGCTTCATAAATAAGGCCCAAACCAGACCGTACCAACTCATGGACTATCATGAATAAAGCAGTATCAAGATCACTGCCCATCCCTCCAGTCCTGGTTAAATAAATTGGGACTGGCCTGCTTTTCAAAATATGTTTTTTTGTGATCACTTATTTTACTGTCTAACAGTGTTGGCTTTCCTCTGGACTCCTTACACCATTCTTCCTCCCTCCTTCATTCCTAGTGGCATACAGGAGTTCTTACCACTTACCAGTTCCTAGCCACTGGAGTGATGGACCATTGAGGCTTCTTCCAGAGTGACCATTTCCACTCAGTTGAGAGTTGAGAAATGGTGTTATGTTTGTGTAGATGATGAGTACTCTCCTCCTACCTCTAACTGGATGAAAATTTCCTATGCCACCTGATTTTGAACTGGATGAATCCACCACATGTAGTTCACCCCTCCAGCTGGCTTTCCTCCATCCTACTGCTGCTTGGATATCTGGACTTGGATTGTATGGTGTTGAATCAGCATAGGACCAGCCAACACAAGTCCTCACACATGTAGGGACCCTTCTCCTAGTGTGGAGCAAACAAAAAATTATAGACTTCTCCTGTTTTTGGATTGGAGTTGCCCCGCCACATTTGCATTCCCCCTTCCTACCATTGCCTGGATGTCGGTTTCCCAGGAGGTCTGGTGTTGGTTATGTACTGTGTCTGCACACACATATGCCCTGCCTCAATTTTCAGAATGGAAATTGATTTTCCCTTCTGATTCCTAGGCTTGAGGGGAAGGTAGTTGGGATCATCCTCCTACTGCAGACCAGGAGAAAAGTATCCAGTGCCACCTGGTTTTAGACTGGAGTTAACCCACCAAATATGGTCTGATGCATCCTAGCCACTCCATGCCATCTGATGTATCCAATTACAGATTGGACATACATGTATTTTTCTGCCCAACTGAGTGATGTATATCTTCACAGTGGGCAAAGAGAATACTTGGCACAGATTGTGTGTAGGCTCCCCTATATGTTAAGGAATCACATTCCATGGGTTCTCTTCGGAAACCTTCCGAAGAGTCCTCATCTAGGTATTTTTAGACTGTCAACCATATTTAATCATTAGGCCACTTTGCAATGCTACCAGTTGGTTTTTTTTGGCTTTAGGCCTATCAGCTGCCAAGGTCATTAAGGCTGTCATTGTGTTAAGACTTCTCACCATTACTAAAGATGTGTGCAGCTGGAATAGTTAAGTGTGCAGCATTTGATTGATTGTTGTGTAGCTGTGCAGCTTAGAGGGAACACTGGTTAGGACCCTTGGATTACCAAAGAAGAGGTAAGGTGAGCCCTTGGACCAAGAGAGGGCTTCTGGCAGTCATTTTTGCACTCTTCACTGAAAGAGCTAAGGGTTGATTTGAACCTAAGACTACAGGCATAAAAAAAAAAACCTACTCGGATATGAGCAATAAATAAAGATCTCATCAATTCAATATCTTACAAGTTTCATTTCCTTCCATTATTTTTTGGAATTATGTTTGATAATAATTCTCATAAGTTGTATATTTTTATTGCATAATAAATTATCTTGGTTAGAAAAATGATACAAGTGGAATCATATTCATGTATTTGTGTGTTGAAAAGGAGGAAAACATGATATTTTGTCATTCTAAAAATCTGTATTCACTCACTACAGTTTCTTCACAAAATTTCTTAAGATATAATTTCTATATTTCTATTGCATAATAAATTATCTTGGTTAGAAAAATGATACAAATGGAATCATATTCATGTATTTGTGTGCTGAAACATTTCCAAAGCATTCAAAAATTAGATAATCACAATGCACTGTACCAATTATTCTTCCTTTGAAATAAAAGGAGGAAAACATGATATTTTGTAATTCTAAAATCTGTGTTCACTCACTACAGTTATATAATTTTAGATATAATTTCTGTTATAACAGAATCGTAATATTAATATTATTGGTTGAAATTGTCTTTGAAACATGGCCACAGTTTATTCTATTGCAAACTAATATAAGTATGTCACATTTCAAAATATATATTAAACTGCAACTTAAATTTCTGTATTTAAAAAAAAGTGTGACAGTTTCACACACTTTAGAAGCCATGTACCTGCTTTTCTTGCAAAGGAAATTTTGACAAAAAAAATGTAGGAGAATAATCGTAAGTTTATGTAACATCACAATAACATCCTTTGTGCTGTAGCCTAATTAGGTAACCATAAAAGAATTTGGACTATTAATATGAAGCTTGTATATATATATATATATATATATATATATATACACACACAC